AGGGGACTTGCAAGGAAACACTCCTAACAGGAATGATGCCAGCCACTCACACTGAGACAGTATCCTGCTCTTCTTTTTGCAAACCCACACTCCAGTCCTGATCTTTCCTAATTCCGCCCCCCCCCCCACCTTACATGCAGAATTCCACAACTACTGAGCATGCTCAGTAAGGCTATATCTTTTTCTAGAGTGGTACTTCATCATCATCATCATATCACAAGCAGGATCCGAGCACAAGAGCCTTCTGGTTGGATGGTGGCTAACAGATTGAGGTTGAATCCTGACAAGACAGAAGTACAGTGGTATCTCGGGTTAAGTACTTAATTCGTTCCGGAGGTCTGTTCTTAACCTGAAACTGTTCTTAACCTGAAGCATCACTTTAGCTAATGGGGCCTCCCGCTGCTGCCGCACTGCCGGAGCACGATTTCTGTTCTTAACCTGAAGCACTATTTCTGGGTTACTGGAGTCTGTAACCTAAAGCGTATGTAACCTGAAGCATATGTAACCTGAGGTACCACTGTACTGTTTTGGGGGGACAGGAGGCGGGTGGGTGTGGAGGACTCCCTGGTCCTGAATGGGGCAACTGTGCCCCTGAAGGACCAGGTGCGCAGCCTGGGAGTCATTTTGGACTCGCAGCTGTCCATGGAGGTGCAGGTCAGTTCTGTGTCCAGGGCAGCTGTCCACCAGCTCCATCTGGTACGCAGGATGAGACCCTCCCTGCCCAAAGACTGTCTCACCAGAGTGGTGCATGCTCTGGTTATCTTCTGCTAGGACTACTGCAATGCGCTCTATATGGGGCTACCTTTGAAGGTGACGCAGAAACTACAACTAATCCAGAATGCGGCAGCTAGACTGGCGACTGGGAGCAGCCGCCGAGACCATATAACACCAGTCTTGAAAGACCTACACTGGCTCCCAGTACATTTCCGAGCACAATTCAAAGTGTTGGTGCTGACCTTTAAAGCCCTAAACGGCCTCGGCCCAGTGTACCTGAAGGAGCGTCTCCACCTCCATCGTTCTGCCCGGACCCTGAGGTCCAGCTCCGAGGGCCTTCTGGCGGTTCCCTCACTGCGAGAAGCCAAGTTACAGGGAATCAGGCAGAGGGCCTTCTCGGTGGTGGCGCCCTCCCTGTGGAACGCCCTCCCACCAGATATCAAAGAGAACAAGAACTACCAGACTTTTAGACGACATCTGAAGGCAGCCCTGTTTAGGGCAGCTTTTAATATTTGAGGCATTATTGTATTTAAATATTATGTTGGAAGCCTCCCAGAGTAGCTGGGGAAACCCAGCCAGATGGGTGGGGTATAAATAAATTATTGTTGTTGTTGTTGTTGTTGTTATGTCCCTCCCATGGTTTCAAGCAACTGGTTTTCAGAAGCATCGCTGCCTCCGACTTTTCCTCCTCCGTGAATTTGCCCAGTCCTCTTTTAAAGCCATCCAAGTTGGTGGCCATCACTGCTTCCAGTGGCAGTGAGTTCCACAGTTTTAACTATGCACTGCGTGAAGAAGGACTTCCCTTTAGAGCAGAGCTGTTGCCAGCTAAACAAGAGATATCATAGCCACAGGCTTTTAAAAAATCTATACATATAAATAATAAAAAGTTGGAATGTTTGTCTGAAGGAGGAGAGAGGCTGGCTGAAGGGAGCTGAGATTTGAGGCACCCTTTTTACCTCTTGCCTGGGAATGTGATCCGGGACAGGCAACACTTTGGCTGCTAGCTATCTGTGGTCCTCAGTGGAGGGGCCTGAGATGCTTCTTGTACCGAGATGAAAGCTGTACTTATGTGGGATTCTGTCCTCCGACAAGCCCTGTAGGGGGCTAATGTGGAGACTTGATGTATGCTTGTAATTACTGGAGGTTCTTTAGCACCCCGTGTTCTACAGGACGGCAATAGATGAGCCCTCGTGACCTTAAATTCAGTAAATCTGTGCCGTTATGGAGAAGGGGGACAGAGAGAACCATGCTCCTCCCTTTCCTAATGCTGGATCTCACAGTTTAGCCAGTGAAGCGGAGGGGCTGTCGATTCAGGGCAGACAAACTTCCTTCCGGGACCCGTCTCTGACTCATGGAGTTGGCTGCCACGAAACGGTTGCAAAGGTTGCAGAGCAAAAAGTGCAGGCAATCTTGAAGCAATCGCTTTGCAAGACGTGAGCCGGCGCCTGCCTTTCAAGTTTTCGGTCAATGAGTGAAGTCTGAGTGTCATCAATGAGTGTAAAAAAAAATGGTAAAAGACCCCTGGATGGTTAAGTCCACTCAAAGGCGACTCTGGGGTTGTGGAGATCATCTCACTTTCAGGCCGAGGAAGCCGGCGTTTGTCCACAGACAGCTTTCTAGGTCATGTGGCCAGCAGAACCAAACTGCTTCTGGTGCAACCAGACACCATGATGGAAACCAGAGTGCATGGAAACACCGTTTACCTTCCCACCACAGTGGTACCTATTTATCTACTCGCACTGGTGTGCTTTTCAACTGCTGGGTTGGCAGAAGCTGGGACAGAGCAACGGGAGCTCACTCCATCATGGGGATTCGAACCACCGACCTTCCGATCGGCAAGCCCAAGAGGCTCAGCGGTTTAGACCACAGCGCCACCCGTGTCCCAATGAGTGTGGTGCTGACCAACTGAGCCTTCTGATGGAGGCTTAGCTTGGTGAGAATCGAGTGTATGCTTCCAGAGTTAACACCAAACGCATCACTTCTGACAAAAGAGCCAACATAGCTGCTAGAGGGGTGTGAAAAATTGTGTCCCTGACTTTTTAGACTCATCTACCCATATACGCGGGTGGCGCTGTGGTCTAAACCACAGAGCCTAGGATTTGCCAATCAGAAAGTCAGCGGTTCGAATCCCCACAACGGGGTGAGCTCCCATTGCTCGGTCCCTGCTCCTGCCAACCTAGCAGTTCGAAACCACGTCAAAGTGCAAGTAGATAAATAGGTACCGCTCCGGCGGGAAGGTAAACAGCGTTTCCATGCACTGCTCTGGTTTGCCAGAAGCGGCTGAGTCATGCTGGCCACATGACCCGAAAAAACTATTTGTGGACAAACACCGGCTCCCTCAGCGAGATGAGTGCCACAACCCCAGAGTCATCCACAACTGGACTTAGCTGTCAGGGGTCCTTTACCTTTACCTTTTTTACCCATATACTATCTGAAACCATGGGATGCATTGGTTGCCAAATGTGAAGTTTTTTCCAGCTCTCCTACTGGATTCACACTGCGTTCACACACTAATGCAGCCGGGGTTGTGGGGTGTTAAGCTGATAGTAGCAGCAACGTGGAGAGGAGGAAGGATGGCTAAATATAACACTGGGGACTTATATTGATATCACATCCTTTTTTGCTCAACAATCAAAGGAAAAGAACAATGGAGAACGTTGGCTGTTGACCTGCGCTTATCACTTTGCTGTAGCTATTATGAGGTATACCTAATAAATAGCCGCAGCAAATGCTCTTAGGATTCATTGGCTTGCCTTATAATGCTTTAATCTTGATTTTATCCAAGCACGGGCATCTGAATCCTGGTTGATTTAAAGCAGCGGTTCCCAAATTTTGGGAGGGCCGCCCTTTGGTTCCATAAACCCGTCCCCAGGGCCTCCTACACCACCCTCTAAAAAGTGCCATGCAGAATAGAAGTTTGCATGGCCCACTGGGAAGGTAATAACACAATCAAATTCAGAACGGTAACAATGGATTGCACATTTATTCAATATCCAATTAAAACCTGTTGGTTTAATTAATTCAAGAAAATTGGTGGACTTGACCTAGTGGTGATACCAGCTTCTTGAAGTCTGGTAGTCATTTGCACTTCCAGAGCCCCCGCCCAAGCCCTCCCCCCTTAGGGCTCCTACAAGCTTCCTTTGTGCCCCACTTTCCAGGCACAGGTCTGTGCTATAAAATAGCTCAGTGTCTGATTGTTTGTTTGCGTGTTTCCCAGAAAAAAACATGTTTTACTGCTGAATCGGAGCAAATGGTGATTCGCCGAAAGACCGATTGCTGTTTGCTCCGATTCGGATGCAGAACTTCAAAGTCCTCTGCAATTCCAGGTTTGGTTGTGCAGGTTCACAGCTAATGGCACCTAAAGGGCTGAGGGTTGTCACTCGGGCAAACCCAGGCTTCTTGGGCATTGAACAACTGCAGGCAGGAAGTTTCTACAAAAGTGAGGAAAGATTAAGCTTTTTCTGGTGTGGAAATATAATCATCGGGGAGTTTTGCCTGTTGCCATCTGTTAGACGTGTTCTGTTCTTTTCATGTGACACCAATATTCTTCTTCTTCTTTTGCAAGTGGAGCAGAGGACTCGACACACGTTTACCATGCATTGAGTCCAAAGTGCTTTCCAGGGTTCAATCTGGATTGCTTGGCCCTTCTTCGTTCTGCATCCAGAGCAGCGTTCGATCTCAGCACAGAGAGCCTGGCTTGACCACCCCTTTCTCTTTCCCAACAGCGCCGCCCAAGGAGCCCGCATTGATGTGCCGGTCGAACAATTACCCCAGCGGCTTCTACTGCAGTTGGCACATGCCCATCCCGACGTACATTCCAGACACCTTCAACATCACCGTAATGTGAGTAGGGCCTCGAGGGAAGGCATTCCTTTGCGGGGTGGGGGAGAGCCTTCCCAGAACAAAAACACAGGACTGGGCGCATGCGACCTTGACTGGCCTGGCTGCTTTCATGAACATCAGCTTTAAGGCTGAGATCGTTCCACAGGCATTTGTGCCCCTTTCCCAGCTGCTTTCACTGTAATTTTATCGAGCTTTTGAACCGCTAAACCAGCAGTTCTCAACTTGTGGGTCACCAGATGTTGTTGGACTACAACTCCCATCACTCCTAGCTAGCAAGGCCAGAGCTCAGGGATGATGGGAGTTGTAGTCCAACAACATCTGGGGACCCACAGGTTGAGAACTGCTGCTCTAAACAGAGTGTTTTTAGGGCAGGGACAGACTCTACGAGTTGGAAGGGACCAGAGGGGTCACTCAGTCCAGCCCCCTGCAATGCAGGAATCTTTTGCCCATCGTGAAGCTCAAACCCACAACCCCGAGATTAAGAGTCTCATGCTCTTATCGACTGAACTATCCCAGCAGTTAATCCAAGGGGGAACCTGTGGCGTTCCAGACATTAAATACATCAGAAGGACCTGGTGGATGAGGCCAATGGCCCATCTGGTCTGGCTGCCTGTTCTCGCAGTGGCCAAACAGATGCTCGTGAGAAACCTGCAAACAGGATTTGGGCACAAGAGCCCTAGCCCAGTACATTTCCGAGCACAATTCAAAGTGTTGGTGCTGACCTTTAAAGCCCTAAACAGCCTCAGCCCAGGATACCTGAAGGAGCATCTCCACCCGGACACTGAGGTCCAGCGCCAAGGGCCTTCTGGCGGTTCCCTCGCTGCGGGAAACCAAGTTACAGGGAACCAGGCAGAGGGCCTTCTCGGTAGTGGCACCCATCCTGTGGAACACCCTCCCACCAGATGTCAAAGAGATAAACAACTACCTGCCATTTAGAAGACCTCTGGAGGCAGCCCTGTTCAGGGAAGTTTTTAATGTGTGGCATTTTAATGTATTTTTAATCTTTGTTGGAAGCCACCCAGAGTGGCTGGGGAAACCCTGTAACCTCACTACTCGCAGGGAGGGAAGCGCCAGAAGGCCCTTGGAGCTGGACCTCAGTGTCCGGGCAGAACGATGGGGGTGGAGACTCTCCTTCAGGTATACTGGGCCGAGGCCGATTGGGGCTTTCAAGGTCAGCACCAACACTTTGAATTCTGCTCGGAAACGTACTGCGAGCCAATGTAGGTCTTTCAAGACCGGTGTTATGTGGTCCCGGTGGCCGCTCCCAGTCCCTTGTCTAGTTGCCGCATTCTGGATTAGTTGTAGGTACAGACACCAAGTATCAAGCCTGGGACCTTCTGCATGCAAACTCTGGGAATTCACTTCCAGGAGGTGTTGTCGATGCCCCGCTAGATAGAACAATGGTCCGACACACCATAAACAGCTTCCTGCAGAGCACAAACACAAGCCCTCAATTATATAAAAATGATAAGGAGAAAGCACAATTGGCGAAGATCCAGACAAACACACCTGGGTATACAGCCCCCATTAAAACAATACATAAGCGTACCACAGTCCGAAGGTATGGGAGAAATATACAGCAATGTATATATAAATAACCGATCAATATTAGATGAGAGTCCAGATAGTGTCTTGCTTCTAAACCACTTTATCAAAACATGTTTGCTGCAAAATGCCTTTGTAACCGCATATATTACTTCACCAGTCCTATGCTCTCGGAGGCATAAATCTTCCTTAATCGTGCTGCGGGGACCAATTCTCAAAGATAGCATGGGGAAGAGAAAGCAATGTGCTCTGTCACTGAGCTTCAGCCCACCCCAGAGTGGGGCAGGACTCCTGATCCTTGGCGAATTTTGTAGAAGAGAAACTGGGTAGGCACAGCTCATTGTGACCTTCTTGGGAAGGGGGGAATCAATGTCTCCCCGCTTGCCGTAATGCCCTCTCCTGCAGTGTGATGGGAGGTGCAGGAACCCAAAAGTGCTTCGCGTTTGGTCAGTGAGTTGAGGATCCTGATCTTTGATGGCCAACCAGGGCAGTGGCTGGTAGATTTACTTCCTCTGAATTAATTCAGCACTCCCTTGCAACAGAGAGTGCCGCAAGTTACCGTCATGTGAAGAAATATTCCCTTTTGACAATTTTAGAGGTGCGCTATCCCCAAGTAATTTAGCCAGCTTCATCAAAATTATTTGCTTCCTTCCAGATCCTCCTGTTACTTGGCCTGAACTGGAACTTCCAGAGACGGCTTGGGATTTCACTTTAGGTGAAATCTGGTGGCAAGTGCTGATGCGGAGATTTCCTCCCACATGTCAGGATATTGTCTGTGTCCACCGTTATTTGTGCTGAACAACAGCCACCGACTTGCTCTCCTTGTGAAGGGCTAAAAAAAAGAAAAGGTCTGATTATGAGGCGGGTGAAAACATAAATTCTATTTCCAGGACAGCAGCCCGAAGCCTGTTTCCTTGATAAACAAGGACTGTGGTGCCTGTTCTTGTGAGAGTTGACAGGGTCAACATGATGTACGCATTCAAGGTTGGAGAGAACATGATGCTTTCATCTGAACTTTCCCCTTCTCTTCCCACCTCAATCTTTGCACCCCGCAATCCAAAATATCATCCCTGATATTTTGCTGAAACCCTAAGTTTAAGCCGGACTTTCCTCCGTCACTTGAACCATCAGGTTGGTGATAATGGAGAGTGTCTCTGAGCATGTGCAGAATTTTACTCCTTCTTTTGAGTAGCTACCGCCCTGTGTGATAGTACGGGGGGGGGGGTGAAATCCCAGACTTGAAATTCAGCCCTGAATATGGGCCCTCATATAAAACCCCAATCTGGCCACTTTCTACAAATATACGAAGCTGGCGTTTATATCTGTTCATCTCAGTCTTATCACCTGCGGACTCGCCTTCATTGGGTGTTTTTAGGCAGAGGCTGGAGGTTCAACGGTCCAGGATTCTTTACCTGGGATTCCTACATTGCAGAGGGTGGACTAGAGGACCCTTTAAGACCCCTTCCAACTCTACCATTCCATGATGCTGTGATTGGCAGCTGCTCTCCGAGGCCTCGGTTCTCCCGTTGGCCAACACCTCTTGCTGCCACTTTTCTGCATTTCAAGCAAACAGAGGCATTTCTGCCTGAGACTCCTTAGGAATTACTACAAGTGGGATCTAGGTGGAACAAGCTGTGTTTAGTTCCCCTTGAAATGGAGCAGGAT